AGAAACAAATCCCAACTTTCTTCTTTTTTTAATAATAAAAGTCTGTTTCTTGCTTAGTGTTGGGTCCCCCAATAATGGGTCTGTGATTATGAGTGAGACTGATACAAAGAGAAGGTCAAGCAAAGCTTTAGTTCACGCCAAGCATCAAGAATCAAACCAACTGTCAAACAGACCAGTCAGGGCCACCCCTTACAGAGAGGGCGACCCCTCTCTGTTTCACAGGCTAACTTTTATAGAGCAAAGGCCTTGTGGTTGGGCCTGGCCATGCACAGGTGGCCAATGAAGTTGTAACACACAGAGAAAACTGCACAGTCATGCTAGGTGACCAATTGAATTACAATTTACTCTAGTAGACATTTGAACTAGCCTATTACCTTGGTCAGAATTGGTGCCCAAAAGGTGCCCAAAGGGCGGGGCCCATACTCCTTGGTAGCTAGGAGACAGTATGCACCCCCACTGATTGAATGTCTCCATCTAACCTGACCCACCCTTATGTTTGGACTTTGTTACCTGGGACTGGTTTCCAGGACTTGTTTTCAAGTAAGTTCCCCTGGGGGGGGCAAAGTCAATTTAAGTTTTACAACAAAATGGCAGATCAACCGGGGTGGGGCCGCTCTGACTGAATAGGCCCTTACAATTAGAATATGTATCAACTGCAGCTCTGTTCCATTTGTTGTCCTCATTCTCTGATCACAGCTGAGATAACAGCATGACCCAGAGCCAACCTTGCAAGGACTCTTCAAGTTTTTATCAGATGCATCTGATGACACATCAGTTTATATCCTATAAGTTGAAGCAACTCATGGCCAAAGTCAGCATCAGTGGGGTTGAGAAGTGTACTCCCATAGAGGGAGCATTGTGAGTCTTATGGTAAACAAGCCAGGAAATATGGTCCTCTTTCAGGAAAATGAATTAAATAATTTAAGACAATAATACAATTTACCACAAGTACAGAAGTGTCATGGTCTGTAAAAGAGATAAATTTGTGAATCATTAGTGCACAGGTTTGCAGTTGAAGCCATAAGAATAAATTAGAGTGTTTTAGACTTGTGAGAAGAAAAATGTCAAGAATAAAACTATTTTCTAATACACCTCCATATATACCATTGCACCATTGCAATGAATATATTGCATATATATATCATAATGTTGCCTCATCCAGTATGCACCATTTGTCACTCTCATATCCAAATTCTGCTTATAATAGTGTGGTAGACATTTATATGATTTTTTTTAACCTCCTCTTAACAATACCCTGACTTGTTTATTGGAGTGTTAGCTCTACCTACTGTACAGTTTTGTTAGGTGGTCAGACCAGCTGTTTGCTTTTTCCACTGTAGAAGCTGAGGGAGCCCCCAAAGACTCCTTTGACTCTATCTTTCCTTTTACTGTCCTGTATTGTCAAGGGGTAAGTAAGTTGCATAAACTCAGCCAGTTGGGTACTTCTGAATGAGAATTTGACTTCTGAGTAAATGCCCCAAGGACAAGTGAGAGAGGTGTTCATTCAATCCAGCAATGCATATGTTCTTACAGTGCCAACTTCCTACCCTTCTGCAGCAGCTTGGATTGCTACTCATTTTAAAGTTGGCCCTTCTACTTTTCCAGCAGATCTGTGAGCTCTTCTTCTTCTTCTTCTTCTTCTTCTTCTTTTTTTTTTTTTTTTTTTGGATTATTTGTTTATTTATTTGACAGACACAGATCACAAGTAGGCAGAGAGGCAGGCAGAGAGAAAGGAAGGGAAGCAGGCTCTCCGCTGAGCAGAAAGCCGGATGCGGGCCTCCATCCCAGGACCCTGGGATCATGACCTGAGCCGAAGGCAGAGGCTTTAACCCACTGAGCCACCCAGACGCTCTGTGAGCTCTTCTTCTTAACAATATCCTTATGATAAAACCTATTTTCCTTAAAAATCATTTCAAGTTGGTATACTAGTCAGTTCAGGTTTCTATAACCAAATGCCATGGACTGAGTGGCTCAATGACAGAAATTTATTTTCCTACAGTTTTGGGGGCCAAAAGTCCAAGATTAGGGTGCCAGCATGGTCAGGTTCTGGCCTGAGTTCCCTTTGTGACTTGCAGATGGCCACTGTCTTGCTGTGTCCTCACATGGGATTGGGGAACAGGGGCAGATCTCCCTTCTTAGGAGGCTGGATTCCTATCAGACTCCACACTTATGACTTCATTTAACCTTAATTACTTCCAAAAACCCTATGACACAGACACATTAGGGGTTAGGCCTGCCAGTGGAGGGTATACCTCCTAAAGGCCAAGATACTAGAATAACAGAGAGTGATACTATATTATTAGGATTAAAAATTACTTATGAATCTAATAAGCAACATGAGTGGGGCTGGTCCCTGGGAGATCGGACTATTAATAACAAGCTTCTTTTGATCTTACTAGGGTATAGAGTCATTCATCACTTTTTAGATCCCAGGTATAGAAATTGTTTTACTACCTGCCAGTGGCTGGAATTTGCGAGTGTTGGAGGCAATTTAGAGAGAAAGTAAACAGGGTAAAAATGTTCACTTTAGCCTTTTAGGCACTTTAAGATATTAAAGCAGAGCAGACACCGCTATCCCAGATGCACACTGCCGGTTTTTCTGTTTTATATTATTTTTAGACTTTATCTCTTTGAAGATTAACTTATTCTGCATTTCCTGTGAAAATTCTTTTACGCATCATTAAAAAATTCTTGACAGCTAGAAAATCAGGTGCTACGTGATAGGTGAATGTTTCATTTCTCAGCAAATAGATTTTCCCCATTCCACATCCCTACTCTAATCCTTCACCCAAACTGCAAAGGCAAAAAAAAAAAAAAAGTAATAAATTTTGTGGTTTACATTACGTTTCTNTTTCTCTCAAAATAAATATACCTCCATTGAAATTCTATCAATATTCCTGCAAGGAAGGAAAATGCAGTGTTACTGTCACTTGAAAGCAGCAAAAAAAAAAAAAAAAGGCTTAGAGTTTACCTATGCAGATTTTTGGTGATGCTTCTCTGAATGCTGTTCATGGAGAACTAGCCTCAGAATAACTGGGAGGCTTGCTCAAAATCCATACTCTGACTGCTACCCCCGCTCTACAAGAACAGGCTCTTTCAGAGCAGAGTAAGGTATTCATCCTCAGGGGATATTTGTGTACACTAAAGTTAAGGTGTTATATCCTACTTTTGGACAAGAGTTTGAAGAATGAAAACTTCAAGAGGACAAGCAATTTGTCCCATACTCCCAGATGTCTCCAATATCTAGAATATTGGTTGACATTTATCACACATTCAGTAATTACTGGTTGAGTAAAGGAACAGAAAAGAACATGAAGTCATAGGGTTAAAGTAGGACCGACTGGAAATAGGAGGAAGCATTTAAGCATGCTAGAATCCTGGCTGCATTGTTTATTGGTGCTTGACCTTGGACAAATACTTAGCCTCCCTGTTCCTCAAAGTTCTCAAGGAGACTATAGTAATAGTACTACTTGCTTAGTTTGTTGTGAAGAATAAATAGATTTAAATATATAGATTGCTTAGAACAATTCAGATCTAAAACACTTAAAAATTTTGTCATTTAGCAATAACCAGCCCAAGGTCAGCCAGATCTGACCTAGATTTTCTCACTCCTTCAACACTTTTGTATGTATGTACATACATATGACTTGGCAAACATCAGAAGGCCCTCTCTTACCCAAATATTTCCCCACACTCCTTGGTCTTTCATATAGGGGTAGAAATTTCCACCATAGTAGTCATTTTTCTAAAGTAGATATGAAAATAGTGAGCGTTTTCTAGTAAAACAAACACCTGTTACTAAGGATGGAACCCGCAATATCAAACGAAGCTCCCTTTTTTTCCATTAGCTAGTTTCCTCCATTAACCCCAGCCAAAGGTTAGTGTGTCAGTGTGCTCGCCAATGAACAGATTCCAAAAGTCTGCCCAAAGATGCACACTTTTTATTTTTTTCCAGAATTTGAGAGACATACTTTTTTAACCGCTAGGGTTAAAGACAAAGGGAGTGGAGGAGTGAAGGGGTATTTAAAAATAAATAAATAAATAAATAAAAAAGATGTAGGGGCGCCTGGGTGGCTCAGTGGGTTAAGCATCTGCTTCTGGCTCAGGTCATGATCTCAGGGTCCTGGGATCCAGCCCCTCATCAGACTCTCTGCTCAGCCGGAAGCCTGCTCCCCGCCACATCCCGCCCCATTCCTGGTCTGCTGCTCTGTCTACTTGTGATCTCTGTCAAATAAAGTCTTAAAAAATAATAATAATAAACGACAGAATTTTAAATCCTGGAGACGTTCATTTAGCTATTTGGTTTTTTGTTTCCGTTTGATCCAAAGCACTAAATCCCTTCCTGGAGTAAACATTGATTATAACCCATATGAAGACAGGAGCAACCACTGTCCCACAGGTCCTGGCAAGCTGAAGGAAGAACAAAACAAACCAAAAGCCATTTTCTCAAAAAGTCGGCTCCCTAGATCTACACTCGCTAATCTTGGCTGCATGATAGGGATGAATTTGGACTGGACATGAAATCTTTTTTACAAGAATTTGATTAAATCAGATAATAAAACAAAACCAGAACACTTCCTTGTTCCTCCACCTGGGAGGCGCGTCCTGGGAAAAGAAGAGCGCACGGAGTCGTGGGCATTTCAGGGGGCGCTGTGCGAGGATGTCTTCTGCGCCCCTGCCCCGAGAAGAACAGACGGTGGAAACTAAACCAGAGCTAAGGCTCAAGAGGGCACAGAATGAGCCATACCACAGCAGCAGAGCTGGGGGCGAGGGTGAGAAGGAAAAAGAGGAGCGACTGCGGGAAGGTCAGACTCTTTTGTCTTTAAAAGGCGAGCAAGGCCCAGGCGGACCAGACTGGGCGGTGCAGGAGGCAGGGTCTGCACGCAGCGGGCGGGGCGTGCCTTAAAAAAAAAAAAAAAAAAAAAAAAAAAGCCGTGCCAGACCAGGGTCTGAGGAGCTCAGGGGGAGTTTGCTCCGTGAACCGCTTAAAGGATCCACGAATGAATGATCCTCCTGTCCTGTTGGGGGTCTCTGGGCCCCCCGGGACTGCGAATCTCGCCGATGCTCGGGGCGTCCTGGGGCGTGCCGGGTCCTCTTCGCGCAAGCTGGGGCGCGGGGCGGTCCTGGCTCCCGGTGGTCGGAATCCCGCGGTGGCGGGGGCGGCAGCGGAGACAAGGGCGAGCGGAAGCCCAGTGGGGGCACCGGACAACAGCCCGGCGGCTGAGAACCTGGTCTGTGAGCCCTGGGTCAGAGAGAAAGTGCTCTTCCTTCTGCACCCAGAGAGGTGGTTGGGGACTCAACGGGACCCTGCGCGGGAAGAAGTGGCCGGTAGGGACGATCTTTTTCAGGCGGCGGGAGACGACTGGGAACCCGACTGCCGGTCTCTCTTTCCGCGAGAAAAGCGAGTTTTGGGCAGCCGTGTAGACGCTCCCTTCAGAGCTCTGCCGCGGGACCCTGCAGCCCCACCCAGGTCGGTGCTCGTGCGGATTGTGGACTATCAGGCGACAGAAGAAGTCCTGTGGACCGCATGGAGGAAGGGGCAGATGACCGCACGGACCGAGGAGCACTCCATGAGCGCGATCACTTTTCGCACCAACAGGGAGTGAAGCGCCTGGCTGTGGGCGCCAGGACTCCGGAGAACCCCGGGCTCTCCCGCATGAGGAGAGGCGCCCCGAGTCCACCTGCGGGGAGATCACCTCGCGGTCCCCAGGGACTGGATTGCCAGAGGATATAAAACAGGAAAGAGGAGCCNCCCCAGGGACTGGATTGCCAGAGGATATAAAACAGGAAAGAGGAGCCTGAGGAATGCTGCGGGATGGTGGATGAGAGATAATCCTTAAGAAAATGCTCTTCCCGGAACGCCAGCCTGTAATTAACCGACAGCGAGGACGTTTTAAGAGGCCGGTCAGCGCCGCTGGGAGGCAGGTGACTCCCAGACAGAATGAAGAACTGTGAGCAACGTAGTACCTCCTTTGTGTCTTAAATACTGTGACGGTCTGGGGACCTAAGTCATTGGAAGAGGGGAAGGAAAGGTATTTTCAAATTGGTAAAATGTAGGCCTGTTGAAATAAAATTCTCACTTTGCAATACAGCTTCACCGATCTCTTTCCCTCCCTCCCTGCTCTTTCGGACCTAAATTAGAAGTGAGGGTTGAAGTCCGCTCTCTGCAGAGAGAGTGGGAGGAGATGGGGAGAGAGGCTTGTTTTAAAGCTGAAAAAGAAAGTAAAAAGGAATGGGAAAATCAAAATAAAGCAGCAAGTAAAATCTTTCCTTTTTTAAACTTTTTTCTGATGTGCACATTTTTTTCTTTTTTTCATTAAATGTTAGGGGGAAAGAATACTAGGAGAAGAAGAGGGGGAGAACAGAAGACCTAACTTTGAACGTTAAGTGCTATTTAAAGGGGCTTTACTACCCCCAAAGTATCCAGTCGAGTAAAAATGACTTTTATCTGGTTTTTATTTATTTTTACTACTTTAAATTTGGCAGATAAGTGTTATTTAAAGGTAGATAATGTATAGTTTGCCCTAAAATAATTGTATATCTTATTCCTGTCCATTGTTTCTTATTAATAACATTTGCATTCAAAACTGGATTGAAAATACATCTCTCTTGATGCTGTTGGGGGAAAAAAAGTCTCTTCTGGTGCTACTGAAATGTCTTTTTATTTGTTCCTCTTTTTTATTAAACACCATTTTTATTACCTCTGTAGTACTGTGGTCTGGTTTGGAGATCTGTGAAGAGCAAGCTTTCCCTCTAGAGATGAACTCCTGACTTGAGCAGGCTGGAGGAGTATTTGGTTACTGCAAGAACTAACAAAATAAGTGGGAC